AATCGGTGCTCCTGTACGGGGCAGAAATATGGGCTGACGCATTGAAAGTCAAAAAATACCGGGTTCAAATGTCTTCGGTACAGCGCAGAGGGGCACTACGCATTGCTTCTGCATACCGTACAGTGTCCGCGGACGCGGTTCTAGTTATTTCTGGCGTCATGCCAATTGAGCTACTTGCTTACGAGCGAAAAGAGATTTACAATCTCAGTGCCGAGATAGGTCGAGCAGCTGCCGCGGCAAGGGCGCGCGAGCAACTGATCCAGCAGTGGCAACAAAACTGGAACGCGAGCACAAAAGGTCGATGGACACACTCCCTGATAGCCGACCTTCAAACATGGCTGAACAGACCACATGGGGAAGTCGATTTCTACCTGACGCAATTCCTCACCGGTCATGGTTACTTCCGAGAATATCTTCATAGAATGGGAAGGGTGGACTCACCGTTCTGTCACTACTGTGGAAACGTCGAAGATAACGTGTACCACACATTCTTCACCTGCGAACACTTCTTGATTTCGCGCAGAATGTTGGAAGAAAGACACGGAGACATTACTCCGGACAACATAGTTGGGATAATGATTTCCAGCGCAGAAAAGTGGGAAGCAGTTGCGAGATACGTGAAATTCGTACTCCGCTGCAAACGAGAGGACGGTTGTCTACTGAGGACACCCGAATGAAACGCCCCTACCAAAGAGCAGCCCCAAGGCTCTAACAGCGCGCTCCTGCATCTGAAGACATGCAGAATTGCGGTGCCAGATGCGGGATTCTTGCGCGGGCGGTGGGAGTTTGGGTTTTAATGGGTAGCCCAACACGCTTCGGTGGGAGTCCCACACTCGGGGAAGGTAGTATAGAGACTAGCGCCCCCGGCCAGTGCATAAAGCATTTCCCTCTCCTACGAAAAAAAAAAAAAAAAAAGATGCAGCGATTTCTATTCTCAAGTTACATACCTGATGACAATACGAATGGCAATTATAATAGGGAGGTTTTAGTTTTTTAAACTATAATTTTTTACCTTTGTTAATTGTCGGATTCCAATTGGTATGTGCATAGATATGTATGTTTGTATTTAGTTGGTTTATAACAAGGTTCATAGAATAGAAGGTTACGACATGGTGCTGTCAAAACTTTGTTTTCCTCCAATGACGTAGTTGCGAAGTGAGTTCTGATTGGCTGAAATATTTTACGAAGAAGGAGAGTACACAAAACGCAGAAAATATAGTTGCCGTATAGCATATTTTAGGAATCCTAATCAAATGGGCATTTTTGATATAAAATCGTGGCAAAGCTTATTATAACAACATAAAATGTTATAACTTCACATGAAACTGGATTAACATAATAATATTCGTACAATAGTGACAAATGAAATGTAAATCGAATGCAAATTGAAATTTGCTGGTGATTTTATTCTTGAAAGTGAGCAGAACGCACTCGCGTATTTTTAAATCAAAAGCGTTCATAACATTGCCAAAATTTCGCTACCGAAATTGCAATTCATCTTTAGACATACGGTAAAACCTAAATTACCTTTTTCAGTGTAATTTTTGCAATCAAAACAGCGCACTTAAATTTTTAATAATTTAAATAAACTCAAAAACGCAGAAAAAAGCACAAACTTCGACGCAAATTGTCAAACGGTAAATATCAGGGTTACACATATTTGAAATAAAACTTGATTTATTTTTGACTAAAATAGTGTATTTTTATAAGATAATTTTTTTGGAATCTGGCAACTTCAAAAATTGAGCCATCTACGTCATCAAGATGGCGGCCATGGCTAATGTCGAAACCTTGTATTCTATGAACCTTGGATTTATAATTACTTTTTACATCGAAATCAAAGCACACTCTTCAGATTCGCCTGCGATCAAAAACAGTTATAAGCAAGTAAGCGTGTACCCGTTTTTTTCAGAGTATTTTTAGTACTGAGGGCACATAGCTGTTTTTGGTCAGTTTAAAACCAAAAGCTATATAAGAGAACGGCAAATGCAGTAATGTGGGCAATAGATAGTATTACTGGATAAAGTTTATATCTTGATACATATGTTAGAATATAAATAGCCAATGGAGACCGCTCATTGCTCTTCAAGAGCAATATATATCAGAGCTTATATCTTGCCATCTATTGCCGGCAATTTGGTAGTTTGACAGCTACATTTTCATTTGCACGAAAACTTCGTGGCTGCAACATCATTATTATTTTAATATAAGAGCAAAAATTGAGCTGTTTCCTGTTAAAATATTTGTAATTATGTACTTGGATGTAAAATAGCCTATTTTCTAAATTTTGTAAGCGATTAAATATGGCAAAAATACATTTTCAAAGCTATCTTACAAATGCTTATATCAAGATATAAAAAGCCCACACAAATATTGCCANAAAATATGTAACAAAAAAAAAATGGCAAAAATCACATAATCGTTTTTGTTGGCGCAGCGACGATATGTACATACATATATCTACACAGTTGGTATCTACTCACCTTAGTTATTGACGTGCACGGATATATGAAGCTCAACACCACTATCAAAGACAAAATTGTTTCCAATGCCTCAATTAGCGGGTCGCTAATATACTCCGGATAGGGATATCGTTGCATTTCGACATATGGCAAATCGTCTTTATTACCAGCCAACTTCAAGTACGCCATCGACAGCGCCTGTTGTACGGGCAGAAAGCCCTCTCTCAAGTAACCCACCGGCAAACCGCCGTCATCTTCTTCGGAATTTCGTGGGCCAGGTATATCGATAAGCGGAAATAATTTTGAAGTTAGCCATGTCCAACCCAAAGTGCGTGTGGCGGTACGAAGTTCACTTGGGAAACGTAACGAAAAAGCAAACTTACGCGGATATTCAGTGATATTAATCAGCGAATCATCAAATTGAACGCCTGCCAAATAGTTACTGGTGGTTAATTCGAGTTCCAAAGCTGCAGCATTGGGAAAGCTTTCATAACCTTTAAGATTCAAACTTTCAGCGGCCTCTGTAATTATAGCTTCCAGAAAAGGGTTTGTAGGCGAGTAGACTAGTTTGTATACAGGAACGTTGGCTCTACTCTTGCTACTCAATGCATCGCTGTAGGAATTAATGTTTGGTTTTTATTTGAAAAATAAATAAAAACATTCATTAAAATTACTTTGCTAATGAAAGCATAAAACACATATACGTATTTATTTACGTGCAACAACATACATATGAAAGATCACAAAATAAGAACATGCTGTTATACAGACAAGTTATGGAATTTTGTTAAGTGATGTTTATACATGTGAGAGAAGAAATTTATATAAATAGTGTAGGAAATAAGCACATTTAAGGAAAGGTAAAATGGAGAGTTATATAGGTAATATCAGTTCGTCACCATGACCATTCATTCGCAAAACAAAATAAAAAATTTCATTAGGAGGAGCTAAACAATTATTCAGTTTAATTCCAGAGTGCTAAATTTAGAAATTTTCCAGTAAACTTTCTAATTTATTAATTTCCAAACTTACTATAATAAGTATAAAACAAATAACCCATCAATTTCACCTACTTTTCAAGTTTTTTGGATTCATGAACACCAAAACTAGATAGTTTTTGATAACTCTTGAAAACTTTTGACTACATGAACAGGCATATAATTTGCTGTTAAAATCCGGCGGCGAAGATTGGCCGAACATCGTTCCGTAATGGCTCGGGCGCCGCTGTGATGTAGTGGTTAGCAGCGCGCGTTACCACTCCGCAATACCTGTGTCCAAGCCTTGACTAGCAGCCTCGCAAAAATATATAGAAAAAAGGTTTTTTTCACAGCCCATACGGTCCCACAAATGAGATTTTTGGATAATTTTTACCTGCTGGAACCAATGGTGAAAACAATAACTTTACAGGACTAATTACAATTTTGCAATTAAATACGAATGTGAACCAATTATAAAATTGTAAAAGTAAATTTTATCAATCGTTTAACGACACATTTGCTGGTTACTTTATTTAAAAGACTGTTGTTATAGTCTGAACACATTGAAAAGGACGACTACAGCTGTAAATTTTCCATCTTCATTATATAAACGCTCTGTGGATGGTGATATGAATTTTTTGAACGCGGAAGAACTCATCTGTCGCTTGAAAAATATCAATAGATCTAAGCTGGCCACAATGCCAGTCGTGGTGCAGTTCTGTCGTTGCCAAAATAATTATCTACATAAGAATACGTGGAAAAATAATTTGATAGATGTGGTCGATTGGTCGTCGTTTTCAACATTGTTTGAACTATTATGGTATTTTTTTTAGAGTTTTTGTAAAAAATTAAAACCTTGTGGCAACACTGTTTTCGAGTGTATTTCTGCTATGAAAAACAGCGTAAAACTGAGGAGGGACCTACCCTGGATATAGACTTTTAGACTCATAATTAACAAAAATAAATAGTTAAAACTTTTTCAAAAGTTCACTACATAATGCTTTCGCGTCAAAAAAGGAACATAAGTGAAACATCCTAAATTTTAATTTTAAAGGTGAAAGAAATTGTTTATCCAACGATATTATTTTCCCTGAATTCTCCATCTCAAATTATTTAAAATATCTATACCGTTATTTCGTTACCTGTTCTGATTCTCGAGATATTAGATTTTGTCACGAAAAAAGTTAAATTTCCACACTGTGCAAACTTCTGAATGTAATTCTGCCATAAAAACATCTCTTCACAAAAATACAATCGCCGTTCAGCGTCGGGGTAAAACTGTAGGTCCCTCCTCTTTGTGTGGCGACATCAAGGCGCACGCCACAAATCGGAGGAGAATCTCGGCCAAACACTAACATATGTATGTGTTAGCGCCAATCTATTATTATTATTATTAACGGTAATTCTCTAGGGTGGGGTAACAACCCCTAAAAAAGGTGCGGAAAAGTCGGGAGGGGTACCAAACGACGCGTTTCGGCCCCCCTAATAACAATCCGGAGGGGGGGAGATAATATTATTAACCATTTAAAAGTTATGAACAAAAAACTTTTGTTAAATTTCGTTGTTTTCTATAAGCAATTACCACGTCAAAAATGCACTAAATCACCAGTTTCCACTTTTAAAACACTNCGGGAGTGACATACTGGTTGCGGTCGACCAGACGTCACTCGAGAATATTAAGTTCAGGCAGGGCAACATCAAGTTCGGGTTTGGCACCCTTAAAGTTCGTGTACCTGGCGAAAGGCCACAAACCACTAAGGGGAAAGCTGGCAGTGGTGCAAATTAATTTGCATCCTCCACCTTGGCCTCTCGCGAATTGATGAAGTTCATACAGGACAAAGATATTGATGTGGCCCTGGTCCAAGAACCCTGGCTTGTAAAAGGTAGGGTCACTGGACCAGGTATGGACGGACCTGTATACTGGCCAAGAAGACTTTAAGTAATCTTTTTCTTTTCGCCCCATACAGCACTAGACTTCACAGCGGTGGTATGCGAACACAAGCGCAGGAGGAGCTTGATGCTAATGTCCGCTTACTGCCCATACGAGGAGGAGCAGCCACCACCTCAAGCAGTTCGCCAACTGGTGTCACACGCCCATTCACGTGGCCTAGACCTGGTAATAGGCTGCGACGCGAATGGCCCTAATGAGCTTTGGGGCAGCACGGACACCAACGCAAGAGTTGAGTTTATCTTTGACATTATCGTCTCTCCTAACCTAGTTGTATGTAACAAGGGCAGCCAGTCAACATTCCTTAATAGGATTAGAGAAGAGGTGATAGATTTAACACTGGCCTCAGATTCGACTACCAGCAAGGTTAGTAATTGGAGGGTACCCGACACGTGTTCATTTTCGGGCTACAATAGGATACTCTTCAACACTGACTTTGAGGTAGAATTATCCAAGTCAGTTAGGAACCCTAGGAATACGGATTGGCATAGGTTTGCTAGGATGGCATCTCAGAAGCTAGAATTGACTCAAGTTGAAATTAGACGTGGGACTGCCGTCCGTCTCACTAGGATACTGACCGCGGCATACGAGCTATCCTGTCCTGTAGCCAGGCCACGCACCAAGCCAAAGGCTGTCTGGTGTAATGCCGACCTCTAGGACAGCGTAAATCGATGGTTATCAAACTCTTCAATACGGCCAAATGTAGCCGTTGCGAGGAGGATTGGGAAAACTATAGGAATAGCTTTAAAGGCTACAAAAGCCAAATTAGGGCTGCAAAAAAAATATTCCTTGCTGAAGTTGTATGGAACATTGTAGTCAACAAATTAAGAATCAAGGCTCCGCAAGAAGCTTTCTAAAACCGATTCGGCAAAAGGTGTCATCAGGAGGCCAGATGGCTCTCGGACCGACTCCAGCCAGGAATCCTTAGAAACCTTGATGAACGCACACTTCACTGAAGGCACGGACCTTTCAGACAGCTCTTAGGCATCTATTCCAGCCCGTGCATTAAAGAGATGGTGGATAATGAGAAGGTATCATGGGGTATCAACACTTTTGACCCCTACAAGTCCACAGGATCGGATGGGGTAGTTCCGGCCATGTTACAACGCTCCTGTGAAAGTGTGGTACCCCATATTATGACTATATTTACAAGATGCTTGGCGGATGGGTACGTACCCAAAGCTTGGAGGGAGGTTGGCTGATATTTATTCCTAAAGCAGGGAAGCTAAACCACTCCTCAAAGGATTTTAGGCCAATAAGTATCTCTTGTCGGCCGCTGTGGTGTAGTGGTAAGCAGTGCGCGCTTCCACTCCGCAGCACCTGGGTTCAAGCCCTGGTCAAAGCAACATCGCAAAAAAATATAGAAAAAAGGTTTTTTCTTAACTGCGGTCGTCCCTCGGCAGGCAATGGCAAACCTCCGAGTGCATTTCTGCCATGAAAAACAGCTGCTCATAAAAATACAATCGCCGTTCGGAGTCGGCGTAAAACTATAGGTCCCTCCGCTTTGTGTGACAACATCAAGGCGCAAGCCACAAATCGGAGGAGAAGCTCGGCCAAACACTAGCATATGTGTAAGCGCCAATCTATTATTATTATTAAGTCTCTCATCGTTCATACTAAAAACTCTTCCCTATTCATAAGGGAATTTACCCACAATAGGCCTTATGAATAAAAGATAAGCAATTGCTTTTTCTTAAAATTTCAGACCTTTTACTCGATTTATTCAAACAAACTTAGGTAAAAGATCTGAAATTTTAAGAAAACGCAATTGCTTATTTCTTATTCATAAGGCCTAATGGACTTAGCGCAGCATGGCTATCGCAAGGGTAGATCAGTCGATAGCGCTCTCCACGAAGTGGTCGGTACTATTGAAAAGTCACTGGAATACAGGAATACACACCAGCCAGCTTCTTAGATGTTAAGGGCGCTTTCAACAACGTAGAAACGGAAACAATAAGCAGGGCCGTGGAGAGCCAGGGCATCCAGCAGCACATAGTTGCGTGAATCAAATCGATGCTGAAAAGCAGAGTCAACGCAGCTGGTGCCACAGGGTCCGTTATTAGAAGAACAATAAGGGGAATTCCACAGGCAGGGGNCGGCATCCAGCAGCACATAGTTGCGTGAATCAAATCGATGCTGAAAAGCAGAGTCAACGCAGCTGGTGGCACAGGGTCCGTTATTAGAAGAACAATAAGGGGAATTCCACAGGCAGGGGTCTTATCGCCCCTGCTATGGATCTTGGTAGTAAATGAACTGTTAGAAAGCTTTAAAGTTAGGAGAACGAAGGTAGTTGCGCTGATGACTTAGCTATACTAATTTCCGGTAAATTCTTGCCAATAATTAGTGAGCTGATGGAATCGGCACTGGGCAGTGTTTCTAACTGGAAAAAACAAAATGGGGTAGCAGTTAGCCCTTCTAAAACCGAACTTGTCTTGTTTATAAGGAAAACCAAAATTCCGGAATTACCCTTACCAAAGCTGGACGGGACTAGTCTAAACCTTTCCTCCGAGGCGAAATACTTAGGTATTGTCCTTGACTCCAACCTTACGTGGAGGCGCAACGAAGAGGAAAGAGCAAAGAAAGCCCAGCTGCGTACTATACCTGTAAAAGAGCTTTCGGGAAAAACTGGGGGCTATCACCGCATATTATTCGCGATATGTACACCACAGGCATCCGTCCGATTTTAACCTATGGAGCGCTAGTCTAGTGGAAAGCACTGGGTAAAAGCAGCAGTCAGAAAATTATTGGAATGGTGCAGAGACTCGCAAGCGTCGGTTTATCAGGCGCCTTCAGAAGCGCACCACAAGAAGGGCTGAACATAATCTTTTACCTGAATCCGCCACAAGTATTCGGAACAGATATAGCCGCAAAAGCGGCCCTTAGACTGAGGGAATCACAACTTTGGAAGCAAAGTAACTACGGGCACGCAGCGGTCTTGAAGGTAATAAACAGTGAACGGCGTAACGGAATCAAGGCCGATTTAGATTGTTGAAACTGGGCCCGAATTACGGCATTCGTGATCGAGTGATTTCTCGTTTCGAATCAAATGAAACAAAATGGCAGATGTTTTCTCCACAATACAATTTAAACGAGCGAAGCAGCCTCGCTTCGAATGCCGCGATCTCAAAATCAAATTTGGATTCCAGTTACGTTCGATATCGAAAGCCGCAATTCGGACCCAGATTACCTCACGTCATCCTGGGATTTTAATTTTAAGATGACTATACAATTTCCAATCCGGGAGGATTAGGAAGGTGGCCTCCTGTCGGTAAATGATGGCATTGAAAACATTAGCCTCCAGGGTGGTAAAGTCGAAAGCAGTTCGGAAATGTCGTGCAACGCTGGTCTCACTGAGTCACGTCAAAACCTCTCTCTGCTGTGTTCCTGGACATAGCAATATACAGGGGAACGAAATAGCCGATGATATGGCTAGACACGGCTCGGAAATGCAAATTAGCGAAGCGTACAACTACCTACTGCCACCAATTCCTTTTCTGCTAAGGGGGATTGAAGAATACACCACAACAGCAACAAATGACCTTTGGATGAATCGGGACGTCTGTGAGGTCTCAAGATCCTTGTGGCCGAGACTCAATAGGAACTATTGACACTAAACAAATCTGCCCTGTCATCACAGGGCATTGTGATATAGCACCAATGCTCCATCGATGGCATATACCAACAAGCTCTCTCTGCAGAAGTTGTCGGGATGAGGATACAGAGGAATCGATTCACCATTTCGTATGTTAATGCCCAGCTCTCCAGACAAGGTGTCTCAAGCATTTGGGATCACTCTTTTTCAGTAGCTTGGGGGAGATAGCGGAGGTGAAAATATCGAACATCCACGGCTTCATCCGGTATAGTAAATGGCTTGACAGACTTTATAATGACATTATGGATTAACCTCGGTTGGGAGGATGTGCCTCCTCCTGGCACTCTCGGATGGCATTCACAATGGGAAAATCTTCCTCCGAGTAGAAGTACGAGTCATTCGTACGCGCCTTCGCAACTTAACCTAACCCATGAGATCAAAAGAAGAATAAATCTTGTCAACAAGCATTGCTTAAGGCTCGGAATTAAATTGCAAAGCAGAGCATGCTCTCGGTGATGCAAAAGTATGCTCTATTGTCAGGAATGGAGAACTGAACAGGATGTGGTTGCTCCTAAATCCAGCGGTGGCTTAATTTCTTTAATGCTAGATGTTTCGTACAAACTTGTGACATCAGGCTTCTCTTTCAAATCTGTACAGATAAAAGAATCTCAGCCTCAGCTCATTTTCTGTTGATTTCTTTTAAAATGTCCAACATAACTGAATAAAAATATTTTCAAAGTTTTGAAAACCTTCCGTATAATATGTTTACCAATTTATTCTATTTTATTATACAGCAGGAACAACGTTTTAGTGCTAAATTGCTTCGCTTTGTTCCAAAATATTTGAAGTTCCCAATAAATGTTAAACAAAAAATTATGCAAGGATAAACATGGCATGGGTAAGTATATACATACATGCAAATATAATAGCTGTTTTCGTGCTGTATTTAATTTAGTATGAAACTTGCTCTAAATTATATTATTTACAAAATTATCTCATTAGTGCATGTGCAAGTGCAAATTTTGCTTTTACTGTATTAATATACTAGTCAGTAGTCTACAATATGTTGTTAGTGCTTTTTGCCAATTGGGAGTGAAAAATAAAAACTTTTTGTTTGTTATATCTATTATCATTTACCTGTCGCCCTTGTATAAACCGATCAATTGTTTCACTCTTCTAGCTTCAGCTAGTTTAACTCTGTAGAAGTTTATGAGAAAAAAATGTAAACAATGTATATTACACATATCTAATTTTAAATAGGTATGTACTCTATATTAAATTGAGTAATCAATAGCCATGTTTCCTTTGACGCGTATACGTATCTATACTTAAAATTTTTATGGAAGACCAAGCGTCAAGTTTTATGGGCGCTTATGAAAAAGTTGTCGATGCATCTTAATCGTATATGTTTATACGCGTTAAAATAAACACGGTTAATAATAAATAATAATTTGTAGAGGCATATATGTAGATAGAGAGGGCTTTCCCTTAAACTTAAAAAACTGAAAACTTCGATAATCCAAAGCATTTTTCAAGTAGAAATGTAAACAGTTCCGTCGAGGCTTTTTCTAGTTTCTGGACAGTCTGTGGGCAGTGTAGATACAGCTGAAAGCTTGCATTCTTTGTAGCTCAATGTGAAAAGTGTTTCTGATCGGGTAGTTGATTTTATGAAGGGTACACATGTACACACCAGGGTTGTTGCGAATATTCGCATTCGAATTCGCAACCGCGGAGCTTCCGCATTAATTTTAACATTCGCATTCGCTTTCGCATTCGCGATAATCAATGCGGAGCTTTTGCGAATGCGAATATTTTGCAAGTGGACCGATAAAACGTATATATGGCAAAAAAAAATTACATATTGTAGCCAATATTTTTGTCTGTAGTCGTAGGAGTATTTGTGTACCAAAACTGGTCATATTTATCAACTTTGATAAAAATGTCTTTAAAATATTATTTCTTAAGCTATATAACCGAGCTATCAATGGGCAGCCATAAAAGTTCCCACTTCTACTTGACCTTTGACGTACGTCAAAGAGAACATAGTCCTTTTAATAATATATTTTTTCTGTGCTTTAAATACCTGCTTTGGCTTCTTTCTTTATTATGATTTTTTTTGGACCAATCTTAAATACACATCAAAAAAAACTACTAGACACAAAAGAAGAAAGTGTGCACTGTAATTCTTAACAACATTTTCGTGATTTGCGTTTGATGTTATAGGCGGCATACACGGTGCGTCTGACTCGTGAGTCGGTTTGGATGTGTTTGTGAAAATAAGTATGTGTTAGTTACACCAACAGGACTCCCGGCATGACTCTGAATGTTTCAACTGTGAGTAGTCGAAGGCGAGTGAACACGTATACAAATGACTCGCGACTCAGACTTACCGCGTATGCCACCTATTGCATTTATTCGTTTGAATAATTTCAAATAGGGCTCTTTGGGGAATTTATTTTTAGCAAAAATTTAAAAAATAGGAGTTTTGTTTACATGTTGGATAATATTTTTTCCATAGGGATATACATTGGATCCTTGGCTAAAAACTTCGGTGGTAAAACTGTCCCTTCTTTGCTATTTAAAGTAAGTGAGTAAGCACCTTCAATAGGGGTTTCCAGTAGAAATGATCAACGTCTAGCTATAAAGAGAATCGATGCTCAAATAATTAAAAAGCTATAGGTCTGACCTTTACTTAGATAGGAATTACGTAACTATCTGTTATTCAAATGCTTATAAAAAACGGGGTGCTTTAAAAAAAATAACAATATTCTGATCCGATTCGGCTGGTAGCCACGGCTTTGAAAACATAATTTTGTTCAAAAATAA